AGGAGAGGAGTGGTATTAGGGGGCAAGAACTTACTGTGATGAACCCAGACTCTTCCAGAATTAGGTCATACAAGTTTGGAGGATGAGCAGGTGCATTGTCCATTAGCAGGAGGCACTCGAGATCCAATTTCTTTTCCAGGAAGTAATTCCTCACACTAGGGCCAAACGCTTCATTGAGCCACTCGACGAAAATTTCCCTCGTGACCCATGCCTTATTATTAGCTTTCCAAAACACACACAATTTACTCTTCATAACATTGTTTTTCCTGAACACTGGGATTTTCAGAATAGTACACTAGTAATGGCTTCATCTTGAAACTCCCACTAGCATTAGCACAGAACATGAGAGTCAACCTGTCTTTCATAGGCTTGTGTCCTGGTAGTCCCTTTTCCTCCTGAGTAATGCAGGTGTTCTTTGGCATTTCCTTCCAAAAGAGGCCTGTTTCATCACAATTGATCACTTGTTCAGGTTTCAATCCTTCAGCCTCTAGGTACTCCTTAACCCTTTCAGGGTTTTGGCCGTACTAGTACAGCTTACGCACCAGGGTTTTTGACGTACTAGTACGCCTAAATTCTAGTGCCCTCAAATCTAGTGAGAGAAAGCTGGTAGGCCTACATATGAAAGATTGGGTCTATGTGGTCAGCGTGCGCGGTATAAAAAAAATCCTGCAGCACACAGTACGTAATGAGAAAAAAAAAAACTTTGACCGTGTTTTTGGATTAAAACAGCGACTTTGCACTGTATTTTTGTATGGTATTTATTATTGTATTCTAGTTTTCCTGGTCTCATTTTATAGAATGGAAGACATATTACAGAAATTGAGATGATTTTGACTGGTTTTACGAAGAAAAGTATACCCTGAAATTGAGCTCAAAGTAGCAGAAATGTTCGATTTTTACCAGAGTTCAAAAGTAAACAAATCATGCTATGCGTCCAATACACATCAGCTGGTGAGTCTAATATTCTTTCACAAGTGTGCTGATATTATATACATGTATACCATTTCTACACCAATGCAGTGGTCTGCATAACAATAATTCTTCTATTTTTTTGTGAGAATAAAAATTCAAAGTGGAAAGCAAAGGATTGTAAGACGGGCATGGGGACGTAACTAATGAACAGAGGAAATGTTATTTTAGTGCCAGGAATGTCTTTCTTGTTTATTCTGGACCCTATTAGGAAATTGGCATCTTTTGAAATTTGTGTGAAATTGGCAAAATTGCTAAATTCTGACCACTGTATTGGATAGTTGAAATTGATAAATGGGTGGTTTCTTGTACTCATTCGATAGAAAAAATGGAGTTCTAGTGAAATAGTTATGATTTTGTCCACAAGTACACTGGAATTGGCCGAAAATAGGGCTCAAAGTGGTCAAAATCACCGATCCATAAACATCATCGAGACCGCTAACTTTGCGAGAGCATAATTCCGTAAGTTTTCCATCAAATTTCATACTTTTGGTGTCATTATGGTCGGGAAAAGATTCTCTATCTTTTCCCAAGAATTTTTTTTTTTTTTTTTTTTTTTTTTGAAATTTGGGCGACCCTGAGAAGAAGTCTCTGAGAGGGCCTGTCGACTCTGAAAGGGTTAAAGTCACTTAGGTATTTTGTAGCTGCAATTTTGTCCAAACTGGCAGCCTCACCATGCCTTATCACACTGTGTATGCCACTACGGTTCTTAAATCTCTCAAACCAGCCTTTGCTGGCCATAAATTCACAAATATCAGTACTCGTTGCAGGCAATTTCTTTACGAGATCGTCATGCAGCTGCCTAGCCTTTTCACAAATAATCAACTGCATAAGACTATCTCCTGCTAATTGTTTCTCATTTATCCACACCAATAATAACTTCTCAACATCTTCGAGTACTGGTGATCTCATTATTGTCAGCATATTTACCCCCTTTGCAACAACAGCTTCCTTGATCTCCTTTTTCTTGGCCATGATGGAAGCTATGGTTGTATGGGGTTTGTTATACATTCTGGCCAGTTTGGCCACACTTATGCCACTTTCATATTGTTCGATGATGTTTTTCTTGAATTCAATCGTATTTCTCACCTTCTTTACCAAAGGCCTGGCACTAGGAGCTTTCTTTGGAGCCATGGTAGCTTATTTAGCAGTTGCAAGCACTAAAATGAGTGGAATACATATTATGAAATATTTCGTATGAACAAGTGAGGGGACCATCACTCACTTGTAAACAATGGCACACTGGCTGGGAAGGGAGGGCGAGGCGGCTCGGAGCCATGTGTATGCGTCTGGGACAAACAACGATTCGTGAGTCAAACGACAATTCGCTAACCAATGTTTTGATGAAAATAACGTTACGATTTTCAAAAATTACGACTATTGAGCCTTACGATTATCGAGGGACCACTGTATTATAAATACATAACCTCAATGTACTATTTGCAAAGAAATAAATAAATTTGAATTTGAATTTGAAACATTGGAAAAGTGAAGAAGGCTCTTCACAGAGATTGTTGTCAGAGTATCCAGGACATTGCAAGTGCTGTGTGAATTTCTTATGGGTCATATCAAAGTATTTTGACTAAATATTTAAACATGAGGCAAGTGGCTACAAAATTTGTGCTTTGCTTGCTGACTCAAGACCAGAGAGAATATAATTTTCTGGCCAGAAACAACATGGCAATCATCCCCCGCCCTCCCTACTCCCCAGATCTAGATTAGATTAGATTTTGCCACCGAAGTGGCTAGTTTATTGTGCACCCCATATCCATCCTGTGGACGGTAGCGCGAGCATGTGGATACACAAAAGGCCTAGGAACTAGGCCCCAAAGGGTTAACAGGAATACATATGGATTTATATCTACATATCTATAGTTCACTTATCTGTTACAAGCAAATTTAGGAAATTTGCTTAGTATATCTGGTATCTTATTTTCATTAATAAGATATCTTGACATGTCACATAGGTTATTATACTGTCTGTCTCTGTATTCTTCAATAAGTGGACAATTAAGCACATAGTGTTCAAGAGAGTGACCATATGCCTGATCACATAATTTACATTTAGTTTGATCATCATCTGTGTGTCTCCCAAACTGCCAGAAGTACTTGTAACCAAGCCTAAGCCTGGCCACTACAACATCAGTCTGTCTGTTCACATTGCAAGTTGCTCCATAAACATACTTACCTACGTTCATGTTATCATAGTGGGTTATAGATCTACTCAGGCTTCTAACTGCATTCCTATAACAATCATCTTCATTATTTACCTCTCTCCTAATATTATTCCTAATGCTAGACACAGTTATACCAAAGTTATATTCTACGTTCTCCTTCTGGATACTCTTCTTGGCTAACATATCAACTTTATCATGAAGGATAATCCAATGTGTGATGGGATCCATAGCAATTGTACATTAATTCCTTTGTCCCTAATTTTTGAGTATCTATACCTGGCTTCCCCAATGAGCATGTTGTTGGAGTCATTATATGAGCCAAGAGCCTTCAATGATGACATAGAATCAGTAATGATGATAGAGTTAAGCTCAGTGTCATAGGTTAGCTTTAGCGCCATTAGGATTGCAAACAATTCAGTTTGCAGTGTAGACGCCCAGTTGTTAATTCTTATGCCTAACTCAACAAATTTATTATCGTTCTTAACTAGGGAGGTGGCAACAAGAGCAGATGCAGCCCTGCCAGAAGACTCCTGTTTAGATCCATCAGTGTATATAACTTGTGATAACTTATTACTACCAGCTAGGCGAAAAATTTCTTCTTGAGCAGTTGCTCTAACAAGAGATTTAAGGAAGGGATTACTAGCAATGAGCTTCTTGGGAGGGACTTGTAGGTATGTGATATTAAATGAACACATCTTCCATGGAGGGGTGAAATGCTCTTGTTGCTTACAGTGATACAGTTCATGCAGGTTATAAAACTTAATGCAATTGCACGTTTTCACAATCCATTTAGATCTGTGTGTATTTACCTCTAGACACTTGGTAAGATTCACTGTGACAGTGTCTGGTTCATTTCTCAACATTCTAACACCGAGTACAGTGTTAATTTCAACAATCCTATCACTGATACTAGAAATACCAAGCTCCTTCCTCATGTTAAGAACTTTTGTAGATCTGGGACAGCCAAGAATAGTCCTGAGAGCTTCATTTTGCATTAACTCCAAGGGTCGGAGGGAACTTTCTCTAGCTAATATCAACATGGGAGCAGCATAATCAATTAAGGACCTAACAGATCTAGCCCCTTGTGATTTCTTTCTCTTCTCAAAAATAAAATTGGCACTCAAGAGATGGTGTTTTAACAACATGGAGGAGATTCAAACTGAATCCAAGGCCACACTACACACTTAGAAGAGTTCCAGAAATGTTTCAAGAAGTGGCAGAGACACTGGGATCAGTGTATAGCCTCCCAAGGAGAGTATAGGTCGGCCATCACTAATCCGGCAACCAGTTATCCGGTTCCACCAGTAATCCGGCACTAATTTCAGCTAGAATAATTTCAAATTTCATCATCATACTGACTCAAATTTCATCATTATACTGACTCAGATTTCATCATTATACTGACTCAAATTTCATCATTATACTGACTCAAATTTCATCATTATACTGACTCAAATTTCATCATTATACTGACTCAGAAATTGTGCAGATGGTTTAAATCCACAGCAGCAAGCCAGTGGAGGAGAAAGCAGTGATGAAAATGAGGAAGATGTAGCAGAAAGAGTCTCTGTTGATAGGTTAATTAAGTGTATTCTAACCTAATCACTGTAATCCGGCAAACTCACTGATCTGGCACATTACAGGTCCCAATGATGCCGGATTAGTGATGGCCGACCTGTACTTTGAGGGAGGCAACTTCAACCAGGTGATTAGATAAACTTGTATATTTTCTTTTGTGGCAATCCAGGAACTTTTTGATAGCACCTCGTATACATTCTGTATACCATCAAAGCTAAAAATTCATATTCAGTATAGCTTGCAATATTTTTAATTTTATACTTTTTATATTTTCAGATGGTTTATGCATTTTTATATATTTGCTTCTGTGATAGTGACAGTAGCCATAATGCAAATGTGGACCTTGTACGTAATGAGGTCTCCTTTGCCAGCATGGGCCAGTCTTACTCTAGATGTTCTCTCCACACCACACAGGAAACCAACAGGTGCACCATTATTTTCTACATGGCTTTTTATGTATAAAACAGGAAACCTGGATTAATTATGATCGGTCATAGATAATACACTTAACACAGAGTACTTTCCATATGTATACCATGGACTCCAAGATTATATTTGTAATTTATATGATCATGCTTCTATATCATAAAATTTCTTAATATTAAATTGTTATTTTAACTTACAGAAACTGTATTTCATATCTGGTTTTCTATTAAAAAGCATCTTCTGATACCTTTTTCCCCAGTGAAAATAATTTACTATGTAAGTTACTACATATGATATGATACATATGCTATGATATGGTACATATGATAATTGTAATTGTGTGGACCTATACTTAACCCTTTCAGGGTCCAGAGGCCAAATTTCCAAGTGTGCACCAGTGTCTTAAGAATTTTCAAAAAATGATTTTGTTATTTTTTTCTTATGAAATGGTAGAGAATCTTTTTCTGAAGGTAATAAAACAAAAAGTATGAAATTTGATGGAAAATTGATGAAATTATGCTCTCGCGAATTTTGATGTGTCAGCAATATTTATGCACCGGCAATTTTGCCGACTTTGACTCCCATTTTAGGCCAATTACATTATTCCAGTTGACCAAATTCTTAGCTATTTCACTAGTATTGCTTCTATTTTATCAATTGAGCACAAGAAATTGCCAGGTCAACTGTTTCAACTGCAAAATAAAGTGATCAGAAACTTGTAATTTGGTCAATTTAATGCAAAGTTCAAAATATTCCATTTCAAAATAGGGTCCAGAATAAACAATGCAGGCATTTCTGGCACTAAACTAATATTTCCTCTGTTCATTAGTTATATTTTCAGGCTTTACAAATGAATTACATTTTGATTTTTTATTCACATAATGAATTTTTATTCAAACCCAAAAATAGAAGATTTACTGTTATGCAATATTGTAATAATTGTATAAATAATATCACCACATTTGTGAACATATATTAGACCCACCAGCTGGCGTGTATTAGACGTGTTAGGTCATTTGTTTACTCTTGAACATCGGCAAAAATTTAACATTTCCGCTATTTTGAGCTCAGTTTCAAGCCATTTCCAGTACTAAAACCAATTAAAATCATCTCTGTTTCTGTAATATATCTTCCATTGTATCAGATGAGACCAAGAAATAACAAATACAACCATAAAAAGACATACAAAAAACACTGCAAAGTCACTGTTTTAATCGAAAATTACGGTCTCAGTTTTCTTTCTTACATTATGTACTATGTGCTGCAGGATTTGTTTTATGTGGTGCACACATACCACATAGATGTATTCTCTCCTATCTAGGCCCAAATTTACTGCTCACAGCTTATCCGAGTGAGCTGAGCTCATGGCTTAGATCTATGGTTTGGACCCTCAGCATAAAGCCGTAGATCTACAGCATGGACCCTGAAAGGGTTAAAGCATGAAATCATAGATAAACAAGCGAGGTGTGCAGGTTTTGGGTTGAGGGAGGAGCTGGCTCGTAACTTTGATATTGACTCGTAACACAGAGCAAAAAATCGACCCAGCGACGGCTCATATCTCAAAAAACTCGTATGTTGGGACACTTGTAAGTCAAGGTTCCACTGTATATATGTGTTTATATATTTATTAGTTGCCACTCTTAGGTTATTGTATAAAATTATTATTTTATTAAATTAATAGTACAGTGGACCCTTGACCAACGATGGCATCGTATAACGTTAAATCCGACTAGCGATACATTTTAACGCAAAAATTTTGCCTCGACTAGCGCTAAAAAACTCGATCAACACGATTCGTTCCATTCGAGACGCGACCACTTGTGGCCTGAGCGTGCCTCGCTTGTCCCGTGGGTGCCAGTGTTTACAAGCCAGCCAGCCACCGCGGTCCCATCCAGACATACAATCGGAACATTCATATTATCACAGTGTTTTTAGTGATTGCACCTGCAGAATAAGTCACCATGGGCCCTAAGAAAGCTTCTAATGCCAACCCTACAGCAAAAAGGGTGAGAATTACTATGGATATGAAGAAAGAGATCATTGCTAAGTATGAAAGTGGAGTGCGTGTCTCCGAGCTGGCCAGGTTGTACACAAAACCCCAATCAACCATCGCTACTATTGTGGCCAAGAAAACGGCAATCAAGGAAGTTGCCTACTTCAAAGATTAAGGAAATGTGTGCAGTGTGGCTTAAAGTGCAAACCTTTTTTGATGAAAATCACCCTGACACAGCTACTGCAAGCCGTGTTGGCAACCTGTGCACTGACAATGTTGTGAAACACTTTAGGAATGTCATAAAGGAACGGGAGGTACAGGCCTCTATGGACAGATATGTTGTGCGACAGAGGTCCAGTGACTCTCAAGCTGGTCCTAGTGGCATTAAAAGAAGAAGGGAAGTAACCCCGGAAAAGGACTTGACACCTCAAGTCCTAATGGAAGGGGATTCCCCTTCTAAACACTAACACCATCCACACTCTCTCCTCCTCCCATCCCATCAATCATCACCAGATCTTCAGTAAAAGTAAGTGTCATGTAATTGTACATGTCTTCTTCAGTTTGTGTGTATTAAAATTAATATTTCATGTGGTAAAATTTTTTTTTTTTCAATACTTTGGGGTGCCAGGAACGGATTAATTTGATTTCCATTATTTCTTATGGGGAAAATTAACTTGACTAACGATAATTTTGACTAACGATGAGCTCTCAGGAACGGATTAATATTGTTGGTTGAGGGTCCACTGTATTTAGCTACAGAAAAAAGTTATGTGAGGAAATTGGAGACACCCCAGGAATGCAGTAAATTTTGAACTGCTTCTGATCCAAATGAGACTGAAATATGAATGGTATACTGTATGAGTGTCTTTTTTAAATAATTACTGAACAAAATAAGAGCTACTCCTATATAATTATGTATGTCCAGTAATAGTGTATTATTGTTTAACATGAATGTTTCTTTAGGTGCTGCATTCATTGTAATTGAAATAACAGTGTATTTTCTTGCAGTAAATGTTACTACAGCAGCGTTGGGACTGTCATTACTGGCTGCCCAGATATATAGAAGATTGTACGAGAATCTCTTCATTAGTGTGTTTAGCTCGGGTCGTATAAATATTTTGCATTACATCGTTGGCCACACACACTACTTAGGAGCTGTGATTCTCCTGGTATCTGAGGCTCCAGGGTTTGATGGTGAAGGTGTGTAAAGTATTAATAGGTAAAAAATAGGATTGGATAACAATCTTTTACATATTCTAGTATTGTATATACTGTATTTCTTCACTGATATTACCTGGAGAGGGTTTCAGGGGTCAGTGCCCCCACGGCCCAGTTTGAGACCAAGCTTCATGGTGGAATCAGGGTCTGATCAACCAGGCTGTTACTGTTGGCAACACATAAACTGATGTACAAACCACAGCCTGGCTGATCAGGTACTAACTTTAGGTGTCCGTCCAGTGCAATGTGTTCACATTATCCCTGTTTTAAATATGAAACATAAAGGGACAAAAAAATTCCTTAAGTTGAGTTCATAAAAAATGCTGACCATATCTTGCAGTATTTGCTACCTATAATGTAAATTTTTTTGTAAAATATTGTACAGGTAAATAATTAGATTATGTATTAATGGCATTTTTTTATGTTAGCCAAAAATAGTTGGCATTTGTATTAGGTTTAACTAGCATTCTTTTCATTTCAGAACAGGATGTTTCAATCTCTGGTGTTACGTACTTGCAAATTGTAGGAACACTTGTGTGTTTCTTTGGCTTTGCCATCCAAAATAAAAGCCTACGTTTGTTAGCTGCTCTAAGAAAACACCACGGTAAGACATGTGAGAAAGATAACATTAAGTGAAGAATAATTTCTAAAAAGACAAGTAAGATGAGGTGTAAAGAAAGTCTAAAGGCAGGGTGGCAAAGCTAGATACCATCAGAAAGAATAAAAAGGCACAATTCTGTGACTGGAACAGTACACAGATAACCTGCACATAGGAGACTGAAAGTTATGACATCGTTTAGGTCCAACTTGGACCATTAACCCTTTGAGGGTCGACAGGCCCTCTCCGAAACTCGTTCTCAGGGTCGGCCAAATTTAAAAAAAAAAAAATTATTTTCTCTTATGAAAAGACAGAGAATCTTTTCCCGATCATAAAGACACCAAAAGTTTGAAATTTGATAGAAAACTTACGGAATTATGCTCTCGCAAAGTTAGCGGTCTCGGCGATGTTTACGCATCGGCGATTTTGCCCACTTTGAGCCCCATTTTCGGCCAATTTCTCTGTACTAGTCGACAAAAAACATGAATATTTCGATAGAACTCCATTTTTTCTATCGAATGGGTGCAAGAAACCACTCATTTATGAAATTCTACTATCCAGTACAGTGGTCAGAATTTAGCAATTTTGCCAATTTCACACAAATTTCAAAAGATGCCAATTTCTGAATAGGGTCCAGAATAAACAAGAAAGACATTCCTGGCACTAAAATGACATTTCCTCTAGTCATTAGTTATGTCTCAAGGCCCCTCTTATATTCTTTTGCTTTCCACTTTGAATTTTTATTCTCACAAAAAATATAAGATTTACTGTTATGCAGACTACTGCATTAGTGTAAAAAATGGTATAAATATTATTGGTGCACTTGTGAAAGAATATTAGACTCACCAGTTGACGTGTATTGCACGCTTGGCACGATTTGTTTACTTTTGAAATTTGGTAAAAAATCGAACATTTCTGCTACTTTGAGCTCAATTTCAAGGCAACCTTTCTTTGTAAAACCAGTCAAAATCATCTCAATTTCTGTAATATGTCTTCCATTCTATAAAATGAGACCAAGAAAACTAGAATACAACAATAAATACCATACGAAAATACACTGCAAAGTCGCTGATTTATTAAAAAAAAATGGTCAAAGTTTTTTTTTTCTCATTATGCACTGTGTGCTGCAGGATTTTTTTAGATTGTGCACACTGACTTCATAGACCCATTCTTTCATATGAAGGCCTACCAGCTTTCTCCCACTAGATTTGAGGCCGCTAGAATTTATGAGTACTAGTACGTCAAAACCCCTACGCGTAAGACGTACTAGTACGACGAAAACCCTCAAAGGGTTAACTAGCCACTATTCTGTCCTCTTGTTACACTACTCCTATCCCCACCCCCTCTCTTATGTTCTGGCTCCCTTCCCATTGCATCTCTGGGTGACTACTTAACCCCTTCAGGGTCCAAGGCCAAAATCTGAAGTGGTGCTCCAGTGTCCAAGAAATTTTGAAAAAAAAAAATTATTTTTTCTTACAGAATTAAAGAGTATATTTTTGTGAAGGTAATAAGACAAAAAACAAAAATTTCTGATCAGTACTTACCAAGATACAGTGGCGGGAAGTTGACCCAAAATGACCGGGTGGCGGCAACATCAGTGACTTCCGCAAAACCCCATTTTTTTATTTTACGTTTTTTTATACTTTTTTCTTTTCTTTTCTATTTTTTTTCTTTTTCTAATAACATTTGTGGCCTGTGAGGCCAGTATAATGTATATTGTATAAGTGTACACTCATTGTATTCCACGCAATAACTGCACTAATTTATCATTATATTGCTTACAAAACTTGTTTACAAATTTATTGTAAACAAAATGATGAAAATATTAGTGTGGTTATTGTGTTGAATACAACGATACCATATGGTACAATGGTGCCATAGGGTGCATTTGTACCATATGGTACAATGGCACCATATGATACAATGATACCATATGGTACAATATGGCACAATGGCACATGATACAATGGTACCATATGATACAATGGTACCATATGATACAATGGTACCATATGGTACAATGGCACCATTTGGTACAATGGTACCATATGATACAATGGTACCATATGGTGCAATGGTACCTTATGGTACCATATGGTGTAATGGTACCATATGATGCAATGGTACAATGATACCATATTGTTCATTGTACCATATGGTACTGTTGTATTCAACACAATAAACACTAATGTTTTCATTATTATTTTGTTTAAAATAGTTGTTTACAACAAAAATGTGCAAAAATGTTGTATATTAGTAATGTTCTATTATATATTTACAAGTGTACAGGAACCTGACGTGTTCCTCGAGGTGGATGACAAAGCACTTTGTCTGGGAAACTGCAGTCAGTAGCTAGCTTGTGTCGCCACTCACTCAGTCTTGGCTGGTGTCTCATGCCACCAACACCTATTGACCATATGGTACATGGTATCATATGTTACAGGGTACCATATGGTACATTGTACTATATGGATAGGTACCATGCAGTACAGGATAACATATGGGCAGGGTACCATATGGTACAGGGAACCATATGGTACAGGGTACCATAGGGTACAGGGTTACCATATGGCACAGGGTACTAAAAAGGCACCAGGGTACCATATGGTACGGGGGTACCATACATCAGGACACCATACAGTACAGGACAACCAAAATGGTACAGATACAGGGATAACTATTGAAATAAATCACCCTGACTTTTTTGGGTTATCCTAAGATTTTATAGGGTAGCTGCTATGTATGATAACTACGTAATTGTATTTCTGTACACCTGAATAAACTTACTCAAGTGAAATGTGGCATCATAAGTTTATTTAGTTATACACAAATAAAGTTACAATAGCATAGCATATACTTAGCAGCATATATTTGGAAACCTAGGAAACCCAAAAAAGTCAGACAAACTTTATTTCCATTAGGGGGCCCTGTACCCTGTACCATAATGTGCCATATGGTACAATGTACTATATGGTACATTGTACCATAAGGTACCATTGTACCATATGATACCATTGTAAACCCTATGATACCATTGATGACTGGCACCATTGTACCATATGGTACCATTGTACCATATGGCACAATGGTACCATATGGTTCAAAACCATAGAATTTGTCTTCAGCTCCACTTCCATCAGTCTTAGAACTGTAAGTTGTGAAGAGGAGAGTCAGAATTCGCCCGGAGAGTGAGTGGGGAGTGAGAGCTTCCTTGCCGCCAGGCACAGTGGACAAAGCTACTTTGCCGGCGTTCCCACAATGCCATGCAGGCGTCCAGTTTTTTTCTGTGGTGTGCACACTGACCACCCAGACCCATTCTCTCAGATGTAGGCTTATCAGCCTTCTCTCACTAAATTTGACGCCGCTAGAATTTTGGCGTAGATCTACGGTTTGGACCCTGAATGTAAAGCCGTAGATCTACGGGACGGACCCTGAAAGGGTTAATGGCTCATATTGGACCAAAATGTTGTCATAAGTTTCAGTCTCCTATGTGCTGGTTGTGTGTGTAATGTCTAGATACTGTCAGTAAATAAGTCATTTACTGAAGGTTCAGTATAAATGTGATGTGAATCTGAGTTTACAGGTTGTTTCTGTACATTCCAAAAACCCCATAATTATGAGCAGCATTTTGATCAAAATTTAGCTATTGTACTTAAAATGGGATTTATAGATGAATTTGATATAAGACAACATAGTGTCTGCATGTGTGTGTCATATGATGTAAGTGGCACTTCTACATAATCCTGAGAATTAATTAACTAATTTTTGTAACACACTGGCCATCTCCCACTGAGGTAGGGTAACCTGTAAAAGAAAAAGCATTTTCACCATCACTCACTCTATCATTGTCTCAGCCCTCTGGTTAATACTTTCAGTAATCCCGCACAGCCTTCTTATCTCCAAACTATGAATTGTCTGCATAATGACACCACATGCTGTCCTCATGAATGACACCTCCACTGCCTCCAGGATCTTTCTCACTGCAACATTCACAACCCATGCTTCATACCCATATAAATGTTGGTACCACTGCACTAGCACATTCCCTCTTTTACCTCCATGGATGACGTTCTTTGTCTCCACATATGCCTCACTGCACTACCCGCCCTTTTTCCCCCACGTCAAATCTATGGTTCACCTCATTTTTTCATAGACCCGTCCACTGACTAAATTCACTCCCAGATGTCTGAACATATTAACTACCTCCATACTTCTTCATTTCAATCTGATGTCTCATCTTTCACTACCAAAATTTTTTGTTAGCCTCATCGCCTTGCTCTTTCCTATGTTCACTTTGAATTTCCATCTTTTACATACTTTACCAAATTTGTCCACCAACCTTTGCAACCTCTTTTCAGAATCTCCCAAGAGCACTGTGTTATTGGCAAAAAGCAACAGTGACAGTTTGCACTTTGTATTAGATTTTTTATCTTTTAATACCACACCTCTCTCCAGCATCCTCACATTCACTTATTTTACAGTCCCAGCTATAAATATGTTAAGCAACCATGGTGATGTTATGCACCCCTGTATAGGCCTGCTTCTACTCGTTTATTGTATATACAGTACTTGTTAAAATAAACTGATATACAATATCAGGCTTCAGATTAAAATTGTTTAAGACAAAATTTTGACTCAAGCTGAAGTGTAGTATACTAGGGTAGGAACTGTACTAGTTGAATTTAATTTTATGGTACATTATGGTCAGGTTATATTATCTGTACACTGTTATCTTGCAAGACTGAAATAATTATCAGGTAGTGTTCTTAGACATTTTATTCAAATTCAGATTAAAAGTTTGCTTCTTTGTATAGTGCACAATGTGTAGTTTACATGTAGTAAAATATTGTAAAGCACAAAGAAAGCCACTAACATGCATGAGCATTTTGGGCAGACTAATCCTGATGCTTACAGACTACTTAAAACTAGACACAGGTTATGGAGTGGGCACCTTTTCAAAGACAGTGATTATGTGTGAATGATGTTGAAAGTTTTTTTTTTTTTTT